CGGATTTCGGCATCCTGGAAGCGCGTGACTGGGGATTTTTTCGGCGCCGGGGCGACGAGAGATGCTCTCACGTTTAGCCACTCGTGTGGTACATCCCGAGTAAAACACGCTTGCTGCACATTCACATGCCGCAAGTTTCTTGTCGCTCACTCACAGCACCATGCTGACATTGGTGAGAGAATGCGTAGCACAGGGATGGGCTCGGAAACGGTAACACTGCAGTCACTCCGCACGCATCACCCAAAACATCCTGCCAGACTGCCAGGTCACCGGAGCCAACGGTACTGCGAATCTTCTAGCGCAGCAGCCCCTGTGCTTGTGGACCATTCCAAAGGCCCGCGCTGCCGTTCCCAAACGCGCTCCGGCCATAGCTGAAAACATTCGTCGATCTCGAGCTTTTCAAGCCCGCCTTTCATTCTGAACCTGGCAGTGTACAGAGAAGAATACAACAGCCTTCTTATTTACAGCTCATGAAGCCAACTACTAGACTGAATCGACACCCGACGAGATTTGCTCGGCAGTTGCCATCAAATACAAACTCTAAATTCAGATCTCAAAATAGATTCCATGTTCCACGAGACAGCACAAGATTTCAATTGTGCAGAGGACACTAGAATTTCAATTGTGCAGTACCAAACATTTGGGCAAAGGAATCAACGTAAACTGTGACAAATTTCAGAAGGATTTTGCTAAAATGAAGATTCAATTACCCCAATTCAGTTACACAAATACATAAGCTTAGTACAACGCGATCGTCGCCACAGTTTCTCACGCACACACAAGGGTGCACCGGATCACAGGTGCACCCGAACCCAGATTTCAAATTTACAGCCTAGAACCCTCGACACAGCACGGACATCTCGACTAACAGCACAGAACAGGAAAAACTGCTACTGGAAAACTACCGCCAAGCCCTAGGATCTTCACGCAGGAGTCTACTTCTTGGCCTTCTTGGCGGCGGGGGCCTTCTTGGCTGGCGCTGCCTTCTTGGCGGGCGCGGCCTTCTTCACCGGCGTGGATCTCTTGGTGGGCGCCTTCCTGGCGGCAGGCTTCTTGGGCGCCGCGGCGGCGGGCGCCTTCTTCCCTGGCGCGTCCTTGGCCGAGGTCTTGGCAGCCTTGGCTGGGCGGGCCTTGGGCTTGGCGGCAGCCTTGGGCTTCGCGGCGGCCTTGGTCTTGGCGGGGGCCTTGGCCTTGGGCTTGGCGGCAGCCTTGGGCTTCGCGGCGGCCTTGGTTTTCGCTGGGGCCTTGGCCTTGGGCTTGGCGGCGGCCTTCTTGGCGGGCGCCTTGGCCTTGGTCTTGGTGGCGGTCTTCTTGGCTGGCGCCTTCTTCTTCGCCGCGGGCTTCTTCTTTGCCGCCGGCTTGGGCTTGGCCGCGGCGGCCGACAGCTTGTAGGAGGCCTTGACCTTGGTCAGCTTGCCGGAGGCGACCAGCTTCTTGAGCTGCACCGACAGGATCTTGCGGAAGTTGCCGGGGAGGTGCGCCTTGTGCTTGTCCTCGACGAACTTGGCGATGGCGTACTGGCTCGACCCCGTCCGCTCCTTCAGGGCGGTGATGGCCTCCGAAACCATCTGCACAAACGCAAACACGAACGAGCCATCAGATCAAACACAAACACGAAGGAACAGAGAGCAATTCGAACGAGATACAACGAGAATGGAGCGAGATTCGGCGAAGGACTCGGGGTTTACCTCGGCGTAGGTCGGGTGGGCGGGGGTAGCGCGGGGCTTCCTCGGGGCGGAGGGCTTCTTGGCCTTGGCCGCCTTGGCCTTGGTCTCCTTGGCCGGCTTCGCGTCGCCGGCGGCGGCCTCGGCCGTGGTCTCCACGACGGGGTCGGCGGTCACCTCCACCTCAGGGGCCGGGACATCGGCGGCCACGTCGGTCGACATTGCAGCAGGGAAGCGAGGGGAGAGGAGAGCTGGTGTTGCTTGCCGGAGCTGAGGGAGAGATGCGTGAGCTGAGGCGCGGTGGTAGGTGAGGAGGTCGTGGCGGAGCAAGCGGTGGTTAAATAGTGGGAGACGTCGGGAAGACGGGCAGGGCCGAATGGCGAGCGCTGATTGGTCGAGAGGGCGTTGCCGCGGATCGCCCCCCTAAGCGGCCGTCATCGAACCTGGCCCGCCCGATCCGCTCCCATCCAACGGTCCTCCACGCGCCCCATCCGATGCCGCGGATTGCTTCCCCCCTGGTTGGCCCTCCCCGGCTCGCGAACCAGCCTCCAGACCTCCAGAGTGTGCTTCTCCTCTCGATTTCCGATCGAATATCGCTCGACCGGATCCATCGTTTGGAGTGTAAATTTTTGCATCGTGTAGATACGGAGTATAGCTTTATAACGAGATTGAGTTTGTGTGATTTGGTTGAGTATTGTGGGAGAAATAAGCCGGTGATCAGGGACTGGTCAGGATGGTGCCTTTGTGTGAGTTCGCCGGAGATTTCCGGCCGGCGGCACGGGGTGCTCCGGTGAACAATAAGATTTTCCGGCGTGGTCATGTAGCTGGTTAACGTAGCAACCCGAAGGTACGGGAAACACGTCGATCTGACGTCGTTTGGATAGGCTACGGGGCCATGGAACGAGACACAAGTTGCACAGCTTGTGGCGGCCTTTGATGGTGGTGTGTGAGTTCAGCCCTGCTTTGCCCCGTTCTCCGGCGCGGTGCCCGGCCGGCTCGCCGGAGAAACGCCATCCTCCGACAGGCGTGCACATGGGGAAGGCGTTCCAGCTGCTGCATTTGGGTTGTCACCTTTGAGTTCCGATTAATTTGCACTGGAGTGATCGGTGTTTGTTCTTGTGGTTGGGGAGAGTCCACCAGGTGATACAAGCTGGCTTGTTCTACCCCTGAGACCAAAATTCTTGATGATTTCGTATGATCTCGCGATGCACAATACAAATCTGTATCTAGTCTTTGATGGAACGACGAACTGGATTGGAAATTTCGAAAGTTTTCGTTAATGTTCGTACCAAGAAGATACATGTCCAGGAAGAGGTCAACGTTGGGCTGGGTGCGGTGCTCTCTGCCAAACATGAATGATCGATGGAGCTGATCGGTTAAACATTCCAAGACATGGAATTCACAGAGTTTTGATCTGCTCGAGAAGTGTGGAAATGCAAATGACAAGTGAGGGACTACGAACACGGGAAAAGGCAAACTTGTTTGTTTGAAACTGGGTACCATCAGGCAGCTGCATGGTCTCGGCTCATGGTGAACCCGGGTGACCGGTGCAACATAAACAGGCTCAAGAGCTCGTTTCATCTTGATCTTAAACATTCAAAGAGGTGAATCCTATTCTGCAGCACCGTACGAGGGTCAAGAACGGTTATCAACAAGAAATCATACGGCATATTACACCAATACCACGGAGGGAAGAGGATGGGTGAGTGTGTTCTTGGCAGGGCTGCAGTGCAGATCTACCATCGGCTCATCCACATACTGTCACCATGGAGGATTGATCTAATCGACTCATGGGCTTGGAGTTAACGCTGCCATTAGCTCATTTAGGAGTGCTAACCATGATGTAATTGATCGAATCATGCAAAGACATGCGTACAAGTTCACTCACCTGTTGATGCACCGGTGAACCCATGTTATAGCAGTAGACAATTCCACGGTCCACATCACACCCCACTTCTACTGGCTAGACCGCCCCATCTTTCCTATCTCGTTTTAGCATCTCAAAAATCAAATCAGATTGTCACGGAGCATAATCTGGTTAGACATCTTGCTATCTGCACTACTATCTTTGGTGAATTCCCCGGATTTGGGGTGTTCTTCAAGAGGGTAAACCCGAGGTAGCAAATACTAGGCGATGATGGTGCCATTGAACCGAGTGCTCGTTAAACTCCTCTGTAATTAAGAGCGTCTCCAGCCATTGGCCCTTTCGGGAGGCTTGAAAATCGCCGCATGGGGGCGAGCTGGCACTAAAATCGGCGCTGGGAGCGATTGGGTTCCCGACCGCCGCCCCCAAGTGCCGATATCGGTCCTTTTTTCACAAATGACCCCGCTTTTCGGCCCAGTTTGGACGAAAAATCATCCCAAAATCGACGCAAATCGACCCATATTCGTCATAGTTCGGCTCAAAATCAATGAAAGTAATTTTTTATCGCATAGTTCATCACAGAAAATCAATAGAAATCAAATAGTTCAACAACAAATAATTTAATACAAATTATATAATTCAACAAATAAAAACTCATATTTCATCATACGTTGAGCTAGGCGTTGACCATGAGCCTCCATAGGTGCTCCACCAAATCCTGCTACAGTTGTTGATGCACCTGTGGGTCTTGGATCTCCTGACGCATATTGAGGAAGGCAGTTCAGGATGCCGGTAGCTGGTGATAAACTTGCGCAAGAGGACTCTGCCTGTAATATGGTTCAATGTCAAATACTGACTCTTCCTGCTCGCTCTCAATGATCATGTTGTGCAAGATAGCACAACAAGTCATGATCTCCCACATTTGATCTTTCGACCAGGTCTAAGTAGGGTATCGGACAACAGCAAATCGAGATTGGAGCACACCAAATGCCCGCTTGACATCCTTCCTGCAAGCCTCTTGAACCTTCACAAAGCGAGAGTTCTTTCCTCCTGGCACAGGATTTGAGATAGTCTTCACAAATGTAGACCATCTCGGATAGATACCATCAGCTAGGTAATACCCCTTGTTGTAGTGCCGCCCACTGACCTCGAAGTTCACCGGAGGAGAATGACCTTCAACAAGCTCGGCAAAGACGGGGGAGCACTGCAGCACGTTTATGTCATTGTGAGTTCGTGGCATACCAAAGAAGAGTGCCAAACCGTCTGAGTCCATCACTGAGCAGGCAAACCGTCGAACACCTGGCGGCGTGGTGGGCGCACAGCCGCCGGTATACTGCCCTACGTGGCCGGAGCGCCGGAAAACTCGCCCGGAATGTGGTGGAGAGGTTGCCGCGGCGAAACATTCTCTCTTTTCCGACGGGGAATGGCCTATCTAGTGGTGCTGGGCGGCGGGCGGCGCCGGGATCGGCAGGGTGGTGGCCGAGCGCTCGGGGGTGGGGGAGGGGCGTATCTGGATGGTTGCCTTGACTTTTCGCCTAGTGTGGCCCAGGCGTGTTTTTCCTTTCGCCGGAGCCCCCGAGCACCACCAGCGCGCTGGGTTCGGCCTGGGATCGTTGGGCTAAAAAACGGGCCGAGTCGGTGGATTTCGATGTCTTGAAGGCGCGACTAGGGTTTTTTTTCGGCGCCGGCGCGAAAAAAGTTGCCCTGTAGGGCATTGTTGGGGGCGCGGCTGGAGATGCGCTAACCAAGACGAAACTTGCGCCGGTGAAACGTACGCTCTGTGTTCCATCCAGCTCTGTTTTGCTCGCCAGAACTACGTACGTACGCATGATAGGAACGCCGCCGGCGATCAAGTGGCTGGGAGCAAAAGTGGCCGCGCTGCTTGCGATCTTGATTGCATGTCGTCCTCGGCGTCACGCATAGTGTGTAGGATCATATATCTCCAGGGTACTCAATCATCTCGCTTTCCAAGAACATCAACGGTGCAACAAGAGTGTCTCATTTTGTGTATTCGCGCTAAATAATTCGGTGATGCATGTGCCTTTTTTTCCTGAAAACTGCAAAACCACGCAAACGTATGTCGTCGCCTCGTGCACGACTCGATATTTGCACCATCACGACCGTGCATCTTCACACACGCACGATTGTTGCACGACTCATTCTTGAAGAACGAGTGTTGACGGTGACCCGACTAAAGCTGAGATTGGCGAAACTATGGCCGATACTCCCCTCTTCGACCAGGATCAACAATGTGTGTTACATCTTATGTTCGGATACCGGCATACCGCTACCGGCTTGGAGGGATGACCGATTGACGCATGACATGCGGGTAGGAGGGGATGACGGCGAGTTGATCATTACATGATTGTAGAAAAACCAATGAGTTGAGGGAACCTTCAAGAATCATAGGATTCCACAACAATAGAGCCCCTCCCCTCTCCGGCCCGCCACCGTTCTCTACCGTCAAATTGGAAACTTAACCCAACCGGTAATTTTGACGAACTTTATAGTGATATTAAGGCATGTGTTGCACTAGCCATGTCGGCTCGTGCTCGAAAGAGCATGCATTGATTGCTATCTTGTTTTAACTTCATCCATCACTTGTGATCGGAGCAACTAATTTCTTGAAATTACAATCTTACACTCCTTTAGGTTTTGTAGATCGCCCGCATGGGTGCTAGTGAGGGGTTGGGTCGACAACTGACTCGTGGCCTAGAGAGAATATATTGATTAGTATCCTCTTTTAACTTCGTCGAACACTGTAATCAAGGGAAGCTAACAAATCCATCTACATATGCATATTCCACGACATTCCATTTTAAGATCGATATGGCCTATGCTGATTATTGTGCCCAAAAATCAATAGCCTATTGTGTTTGCTAAACTAATGTCAATCACCTGGAATTTGTCCAGGCGTCATTCACTCCCGCTTCACGCGAGGCCGAAGGCTAGGAAGGCGTGTGGAGCGTCGGCCACGGCGCCACGACGAGGCCGTGGCCGTGCACGAGCGGGAGTCGGCAGTAGCCGACGGGAGCAAATCTGGAACTTGACGATGCAGGAGGGGGGTCGGCAAAGTTGTTCGGGGGTGGGGGCTTAGAGGCATGGCCGAGAGCGGCAACCAGCACGGCGACGGGGGGAGGACAAGGCGGCGCGCGACAACGCCCGACGACCCTGAAAGGGAAGGCAAAGGGTTAGGGTTTGGTCGGCCGGCGGTTGTATGAGGAAGAAGGGGAGGCTCAAGATGAACAGCACACGATCTGTTTCCGGCCATTGCATGAAAATCAAGCCTTGGTAGGTGAAACCCAAATGCAAAGAGGACAGTCTAAAAATTTCTGTTAACAATTGCACGCTTCTTCTT